AACTTTCCTACAACTCACAATCGCAAGAAAACGCCTGAGATTATTGCAACCTACATTTTGATTTGGATTTACAAAATTCTATAAAACCCAAGTCATGGAAGCTCAGACCCTCTGAAAACGATTTCGTCAGAATTTGCTGTCGAAGCTGGATATTACAATTGACGTCACAGATGAAATTATTAAAATCGATAGATTCTCATGCGGTACAGAGGATGACATGCATGATGAATAATATAGAGTGCATATTACGTATGCATTATATAGACAAGGACAACGTTGGTGATATTGGGCCTCTAGTCACATTTTACAGAAACAGGTTTCACTACGGATATACCGACCCACAGTAGAAAATAGCAATGAGCTGAAATGCCACAGTAGGTGATTATGGACATTACATTTTATTTGATGACCACTACCAAAGGGAAATGATTTCAGGGCTTGAGCGAACATCGCGACTTTATGGGCGAAATGTTGAGGTTTCTAGTTCTGTGCCCAAGAATCAGATATAATAAGTCGCAAGAAAACAGAAATCCCATTATGTGCTGGACATTGTTGTTCTCGAACCAAGTCAGGACTTTCCAACATAGCGAGCTAATGTTTTCGCGGAAAAGAAAATGACAAACACCCACTCATCGAGGATCTAGTATTCAATCAGAACATCAAGCATACGTCTAGCTGAACTGTCTGATCGGGTTGTCTTTCCTGCTAAAGTTCTTCACACTTTGTTATGATAACTGCTGTTTAACGCCGCAGTACGCGTTCCGAATGTTATCACAAGAATGCTGAGTTGTGGGCAAAAGTCGTGCCCCAGGCGGGAGTCGAACCCGCACCTCACGCTTTCCGGGCGAGTGCGCTATCCGTTACGCCACCAGGGCCTATTTTACCCTCTCAGCTTAACGGCTTATGCCGTAACCTTACAGCACTCACACGTTTAACTTGGTGAGGAAATAGGCCCTGGTGGCGTAACGGATAGCGCACTCGCCCGGAAAGCGTGAGGTGCGGGTTCGACTCCCGCCTGGGGCACGACTTTTGCCCACAACTCAGCATTCTTGTGATAACTTTCTTCACACTGTTTTGCTCGTGGTTGTGACACCGGAAAACATCCGAGTTGAGTCTCGAAGAATCCATCATAGAATAGCAGTTTGTGAATCTTATAGAGAGTCTGATGGTTACTGTTCTGGGATGCAACCTCGACACTCTCTTGTGAAGAGTTGATGTTATAGAGCACTTCGTCAGTACCTTCATGGTAAGCTGGATATTCCAAGGTTAGATCCGGGATTCAGAAGAGTAGCCTACAAGGTTCATATGGTGTCCGCAAAGGCCCACCGTCATTCATTTTTGTATACTCACAATCAGACGACGGGAACAATACACAGCTTCTGCTTTTTCCTTGCCTACGCTAGCTCTTCATTACTTCCCGACTTTAGAGTACATGCAGGCAAAAATTTTGAAATGATGTGTCAGTGAATGGAAAAAGCGTCATGCTTTGGATAGAGGTGATCTCAATAGATTCAATTATTATTACTATATGTTTTTAACAATAGGGGCTTTGAGAGACGGCAGACTGTGAAATTCACTAAGTACACGATCATGTGCTCTTTAAAAGAGTCGAGGGAAAGAAACACTCCAATCACGTCACAACCGCTACCAACTATGCTCTTTTACGTGTTCTTCGCGTTCATTCTTCTTAGTGTTCTCAATCGAGAGGTCATAGCAGAGGTAAGGTACACTGATACGGGCTCTAAATAAAAACTGAGAGGGGTTAATTAACAGCCGCAACGCAATTCAACAGTTTTCAGGAGTGCGAGGACAAGGACGATCTTCATTGTTGGAAAGCCTCATCAAAGGGCTGGTGCGCTCGAAGCAGTCATATGTATAAGACCATGCAAGTCAACTGCAAAAAGACTTGCCGTTTGTGTCCGCCGTATGACTCCATCGCAGAGTGAGATGCTCCTCCAGTGTGAATATAAACCTTACGAGAAAGTCTTTTTGCTATATTGCAGAGAATAGCCTATTTCGTGAGAAAAGTAAATCACGACTAGACCCTGATCTTGACTTTCAGCTTTACTCTGAATTTATTACTTTGAAACCTTCGTGATGATACGTGGGTGGAGGTAGCGCGGTGACAAAGTGGGTCCACTTCCCACGCTTGCGGTCCGAGGGTCATACCTGTTCGGCTCCACTCTCGCCTTTTATCAGAATTGCCAGCGAAAAAGAAGCAAGACTTGTATGCGGCTGTATGCTATATGATGGGCTACTCCCGTCATTTATTGGGCTGGAGGTTTTTCAAACGAGTAGTGTAGTATCCGATTCGGCGCTCCCGAATTGAGCCAAACCTTCATGGTACTTGGTGCTTATATATTTTAAGTTTTAGGTAACGGCTTGTCGAGTCATTTTATAGTCAAAATTTCAAACGGCCAAGAAGGGTGTGCGCATGAGGTACCTAATTTTCTTGTAGAAGCACGAACGCAGTACCGATTCTATGCCTCTAGCAGTAATGTTCTCAGCATGAGATGTCATTCACGACTGTGAAAACGCACCCCGGCCCTAGATGAAATATGGGTGGTCTTGGACTCGAGCCAAAACTCACAATCGTCAATTTTGTATGAATGCAGATGAGAAGCCGCCCGAGTTCTACCATGAGGGGTTACGTGGGCGCAAGTGGATGATCATCATAGCGAAGGATTCCTACACTGAGGCTTTTAGGCGGCTCTATACAGAAAATAAAATCGTCGCTGTCGGTGTATATTGCCTGTTCCTCGGCAATCAGATCGACAAATGGATGATACCACACAACTACAAGAAGGCCACCGTTGCTCGTCATAGTGCCAGACCCCGAGTAACTGTATTGTAGGGCAGTGCTGGGACACAAACAATACTGAGACCTGGGTTCAATCACCCCATTCGCCCGACATAAAGCCGAGCGATTCCAATTGTTCTCGTCAGTCGAGAGTACTCTCCGACGGCAAACGCTACAATGTTTTGTCATTCGCCGAAATTGGCATCAACAGCAATTTACTCGCACTTGTTGAAAAATCGAAGGTACCAGAGGTCCAAAGGCTTTCGGGGCACTGGGAGCGGGTCATTGGTGAAGGAGGGATTTACTTAACTTGGAAGCCAAAATTTACTTTTTTCTATTCTCCTCTTTGTTTTATTCGAAAAAACCGACGGCACTTTTGAATGGGATGACCTAATAATACTTCCGTGGGATCAACTCGACGTATCAAACCTCTGACGAATAAACCGATTTCAAAGGTTTGAGCTTCTGACGACTTTGTTCTGGTCAATCATCTGCAATTCGATAGAAGAAACTGCTGAGTATACCCTGAGTAAGGGGTGCCTCTTTTTGCAGGTAATTTCAATTTACAGGTGGAGATGCGTAATAGCTCCTCGTGAGAGACCAGCTAAGTGGTGGAAGAGGACACACACAGGTAACACGACAGGCAGATGCTCGCGCTGGAGGGTGTCAACCGCGCTTATGTAGAATCACTTGATCAGCCTTGAGACTTAAAGGCAGCGCCCGCGTTCAAATTTGATGAGTATGCGGCTCAGGTAGTAATAGCAAGGTAGCAAGAAACCTATTAGTGAAGAAAAATCAAAAGAAAACATGCAAAATGCCCTGTAAGGAGTTTCATACCGAATAGCGGTTGTACGTGCTTAAGGCGAAGAGAAGGAGTGGTTGCACGAGTTCTCACTTGTTGATTTCAGCTGTTTCCCCTTATCACCTCACTCTCACCACACGACGTGGAGAGAAGCAGCAATGGAACAACCGCACCATCAGGCAACCATTAGAAATGAAGTTGGGCGTCGTGGTCGCCAGGTGGGCGGGGCGGTCGACTCTTACTAGCGATAGGCGCTATCCTCTCGCCTTTGTGAGATGCAAAACTAGTACATACTGCATCCTTATGGGGAGGGCTATGATATCCCAGAAAGGGCGTAGGAACATCAAGTGAACGTGGGCGCTGCCTTTAATGCCCCTACTTAACAATTGTCGGAGGGTGGGGACTTCCCATTGAGACTCACACAGAGCTTTGATTCTCGCAAGTGATCACTATAGACCAATGTCGTCATCTTGAATGTAGTAAAGAGTTTTGGACGCATTTCCTACATAATAAAAGATTAGTAATGTCAAATGAGCATCGATTTAGCACGATCATTCTATACTATGAGGTCAATCAGCATGGTTAATTCCTGGAGCACCTTTCCATAATTTTTTTCACCTATTTAGTCGTACCCTACTTGAGCTTTGAAATTAAGAAAGCTTGTCTGCATTGGAACCATCAATGAAGTGAGCCACATTTAACTGATACACCGATGACCGAAAGAGGTGGTGGATTGGCGGAACCAGTGTTAGTGCTGGACAATGGCACAGTCGCGAATGCGTGGCTTCATAGCAGTCAGCAGTAAACTACAACTCGGTTCAGCTGTTTGCAGGGCAAGTCAGCATCGACAGTGGCACCGTGTGTAGCAGTTCTCAGCAGCCCACTATCATTCCGAACTGCTCATGGTTCAACTTTGTGAAATAAATTATAAATAAAATTATAAATTCCAAGCTTCTTACGCAATAAGAAGCTTAGAATTTATGTTTCGAGCAGTTACACGGTTAGCCCAGTAGCCTCTACTTCTGTTGCTTTTGTCATGCATTTCATGTTAATTCTGATACATCCAACCATAAGAGAACTACCAGTGGTGTCCAACGCAGCGGTGTTCTATCATGCTGCGTAGTGGAGAGTAACTCGGAGTCTCCGGGGCTTGTAATGATCACCACCATGGTTTAGTGAGCCAGGCGGCAGTAGCAGCAGTATTCGGACCCAGCGATGGTTTCTGCATGTATCACAATAGCTCCCAGACACTTTGGTCATTGCCGCAGAAGGTTCACACTTGAACACTGGTAGTTTATAAGAAGGCTGGAGCCACTTCGGCGTTATGACATCTTTCACCGAAATCGATATGGACAAGCATTCGGAGGTTAGGGAGTTTTCTAATTACAATATCCTCAACGGCGACATGGCACAAGGCGCCGGCGTCAAAAATTAACGTCATCGTGATGGCATTTTGTGCCACCTGGTCAACCAGCTAAGACCAGAGGAGATAACACTCAAATATATCTACTCGTTGAAGGGAGATGAATGTTGCGTATAGTAGAGGAAATCCATAGACACCGAACAAGCAGATCAGTTACTCATCCCGAAAACTGTATGGTTCCTAGAAAATAAAGAATTCGGAATGAAATTTCCTGCAGTGACACAGAGAATACCCTTAGCCTTTGATGATGAGACGTACTCAATTTTTCTTTGATTCAGGAAACTCGAAACATAGAAGTTCTTGACCAGCTTTCTAGAAAAGAGTGATCCCCGCAATTCACACCGAGCATAACGCATGAGGGGGGCCCTCTAATAAATTATCTAACAGTAATCTGACAAAAGAACAGGGGCTGAAAAATTTTAGAAATTTATCGCTGCAGTGCCTTCTTTGTGTAGTTGTTTCATAAGAGCACTTTATTATGTGAGAAACTCCGTGGTGACCTCACAATTCCCGAATGCATGGTTAAGAAAGGAGGCTAGGAATACAGCTTCCATGCGTGCTTGGATGACGTTCTTTGACAGCATAACAGACAGATAACTCCTGTGAGGGTTATCATTGGGTGCTGCGTCGCTTGTCCTTCTTATTCCGTCACAATCCACTGTGCTGCTACAAATAGACAGACTGTACACTTACCTTCGTGGATCCTCGTACTCACCATATTCGAAGTGAAGGGCTTCATCCCTCCGATCTGAAGTGCAGGAGATGGTGAACACCGATGCTCGGTTGCTGTTTCCCCGCCGCATGCAAGGGCAACCACAAGCCTTCTCAATGCCAACCACGCTGCTTATCAAATTCACTAGCTTGTTAGTTATCAAATGCGCTATCGGGTCCTGATGATCCTAAAAGGTCTCTAGCAGGGCGCAAGTTCTTTATTCCCATTATGAGTGATCTTCTAACACCTCTTTCAGGGGTTGCCTGACGCTCAACTGTATTCTCGTTCATATGACTTGTTCTTGTTTATCTGATGTACACACTCTAACAGGCAAACTCGTGATGCCTTAAACTGATATTAATGAGACATCGCTGGATATGAGTTGTACTCGTTATGTCTGCATACGGGTTCGGCATGTGCATGCTAGATGCGAACGCAAAATCTAGATTCAGTTGCCAGTTCAAGTAAATCTGGGATCCACCGTCTATTGTGCACACGTTGCGTAAATGACGACCCGGCAGCTACAGGACCTGAAAGTGAATTTATACGTGTCACTTAATGCAGAGCGTTCAGTCAACGCATCATAATTATTGAAAAGAAGGCAAACAAGAAAAACAAATTCAGTCCTTATTATGCACTTTAAACAAAAGAGGTTCCGATATGGAGCAGACTGCAAAAACGAAAAGTGACGATCAGTACTGCTTAAAAGGCACGACGGAACCAACCATGTCACTCAGGTGACATACACTGTCGACAATGCTCCTTCACGTGTTCTTCGCTCTCATGCTTCTCAATGCCTTCAGTCAAGATGCAGTGGCAGAGGTAGGGTTCCCTTCGGCAAGCTTTCTATGAAAAATTCACGGACAAGTTTACTTACTATTCGCATGAGTGAACTAGCATCAGAGCGTTTAGTTTCATTACTGGACGCATTATAATCTTAACGCTTTTCAGGAGTGCAAGGATCTTGAAGACGAACTTCTTTGCATAAAGGCTTATATGAAGGGTTGGTGCGACAAATCTAGCGCAATGTACAAATACTCAAAAGTCAGCTGCAGAAAGAGTTGTCGCTTCTGTCAGTTGTAATATGATTCTCACGCAAAATAACATGCGACTTCTGCGAAGAGGAGCAAATAAAAAATTCTCGGCAGTCTTCACATCGCATTTGAAAGAGCAGCATATGCTGGGCGTACCACTAAAGCATACTGACAT